AGCCGAGTGCGACGTGACCGGCATGCGTGTGAACGCATCTAAAACGAAAAGCCCAGTGCTTTCTCGTTCTTCTGGTAGTCGCTCTCTTCAGATTAACGGATAGGCAGAGGAGCAGGTAGAGAAGTTCAAGTACCTTGGAACTATATTTACTAGTGATGGAAAGTTGGAGGAAGAGATCGACCGGCGAAATGGTGTAGCCAGTGGCATTCTGCGTGAACTGGCCTGACCCGTTGTGACGAAAGCAGAGCTCGGTCTGAAAACTAAGCTCTTAATATTCAAGTCGATCTTTATCCCCATACTTACCTACGGTCATGAATCCTGGACCATCGCTGAAAAACTTCGATCCCGGGTACGAGCTGCTGAAATGGGCTTTCTTAGACGAGTCGCTGGCCTTACGCGTCTCGACATTGTCCGTAATACTGAGCGGAAAAGCCTTGGTGTACAACCTTTGCTTCTCGAGATTGAGAAGTCACAGCAGCGATGGTTTGGGCACGTTTTGTGAATGCCTCCAGAAAAGAAGGCTAAGCAACTGTTTCTTGCAAATCCGACCGGCATAAGGCCCAGGGGACGGCCAAGATTAACCTGGTGCAAATATATGGAAGGTGTCTGTTCCAGACTACTCCAGTTATCTTCTGCCGAAGCTCCGACTTTGGCACAGGATCGGGAACGTTGGAAGCGAGGTGCCACGCGTCTGCCTCCGCGGCCCGAAAGGAGAAGCATTATAGATGATGAAGATGAAGAAGATATAAACGTATGATCAGGTCCAATCGGTACAGTATCTGCGGTGAGTTCATTTATGAAACAATATGAAGATTTCACTTTATGCCACCCTTGAAGCAAAGTTTCTTTGGATTGTTGCGCTTTTCTGATGCTTATTTTTTTCTAATTCCCTTTGTAATTATCTTTCTCCAAATTATTTGGAATTAATTTTAGTACCCATACGATCAGAGAGGCATTGGTTTACATTGGAAGGGATCGAAAGCGAAAAATCAAAATTGGGGTTTGCACCTTCTGCTGGTTACCACCTTTGACAGTGAATCATTTGGTCAGAGCGAAGTGCAGCAGCAGGGGATTCTAACCTTAGGCAGCGTGATCATATACCTCGTACATTCTGACATGACCAGATTAAAATCCCAACGTTGTTCCTGTTATTCACAAATCACCAGACACAAAAATCTAGACTAGTGTTATGTTCGAATATTCCAATGTTCAAGGCTTAAAAAGCAATAACGATGCAAAGAGAGGTGCCATTAAGCTCCCTGACTCGACTCTGATGCATTCGTGGTACTCCTTTATGACCACCTTATGAACTGAGAAACTTAGACTTAGAAACTTAGACGGTACACCTTCCCATGACATGATGCAGTGACTCACTTGTTGCTACTCATTTATGTTAGAACTGAAAGATACACTTACGAGCAATAGAAAAAGTGCCAGCTGATTAAAAAAACGTTTTGACCTTTCAACAGATATTGCTCGAGAGAAGGTTAGAAGCATTTGAATGAAATGTCATAAAAAAGCGGTTCGCCGCCCGCCGAGAGTACTGCTTATAAACAGAACGAA